ATATATATATATATATATATATATATATATATATATATATGTCTCTCTTTTTTTATATATATATATATATATATATATATATATATATATATATATGTCTGTATATATATATTAGCTTTACTACTGACTTGGGATTTTTTTTCTTTTGACTAAAGACTTAAAGCACTGGACGATTTGTTTCGCCCTGTTCAAATGTTTTTTAGTCCTTTCTTTTTTTTTCAAATTTTTTTCTCGGGTACCGATTTGTTTTGACATATCTACACGCTGTGATATCGGAGGTTTTTCCCAAACAAGTATTACTATTATATATATATATATATATATATATATATATATATATATATGATAGCGATATATAAATATATATGTTTATATATATAGAACAATATTGGGAGAATGTATCACAAAGTTGAAAAAGGTTTCGTGTGACACGTTTCGACCTTCAAGACTCCATCTACAGTAAATTTGCGCACTGACTCATGCAATGTTTCAGCATTTCGGGCAGAAGTTCTCTTGTCTTATTGATTTCACGATATTGTTGTGTACGTTTGTTTGGGAGAGAAGTAATTCTGTTAAGAAAGGTGAAATAGGGAAAAATAAGTGAAATCAAAAGAAAATGGTTGAATCACAGCAACACACCAATAATAATATCTCCACACGTGACAGTAATTGACGTAATTTTCAGTTAACAGTATGAAAATAGCGTTCTCTAAATTCTTCCAGTTGCTAAGGACATTTTATTTTTGTTATTTTTAATTACTTTGTATATATTCATTTCAGTTTTTGCCTTGAGAAAGTCAACATTGGACGAAACGCGTCGACAAACTACTGCAGTTTTCCTATTGTCATTTACATTTATAAATATTGTCTTTTCTACTGGTTAATCCTGAGAAATTTTCATATATTGTTATCGAGTGGGTTCACAGTGAAGGCTTGTATTTGTACTAAGTCGGTCCTAAAATAGGTTCGACGTACAAAACGTTAGGAACTTGATATAATAGGCATAACGCAGAGTAATCTAGTTGTGGTCGCTGATACTTTAATATTCTACTAACGGTCGTACGACATCGACTGACTGACCGAACCACTGAGGGACTTTCCCGTTACTCTTAACTACTCCTACTTATTATAGGTGGGAGAGTCTATTAACTATAGAATAGTGTGTTCCATTATAACATATATATATATATATATATATATATATATATATATAATATATATATATATATATATAATATGATATATATATAAATATATATATATATATATATAATATATATATATATATATATATATATATATGATATATATATATAAATATATATATATATATATATATAATATGATATATATATATATATATATATATATATGTATATATATATAGGTAGACATAATATGTCTATTTATTTTAGTTTTAATCATTTCATTCCACGAATTAATTTCTTTGGTGGCTGTAGAAAATTGATCAAGAAAATTTCCTAATAAATAACGACGATGACAAGAAGACTTAAGTTTTACTTGAACGATCATAGGTCAATCTCCGAACATTTAAATTTAACATTTAAACGAACACTAATGTTTACATTCGCAGTTGAGACAGATATTAGTCAAAAATACATCAGTGCTCCATCGAAATAATAATAAGCAAAAACTTAAAATTCTCGAAGTCCTTTATATAAGAGAAGTGAAGCCAAAAATAAATAAAGTCAACTATGAGTATAGCAACAAAGTTCTTAAATATTTGTAGCAACAAAGTATTATATAAAAATACTAAATTAAAATACTATAAAAAAATCACATCAGTTACCTCCCTTGAGGTAAAAATATTTTTAATTTACTGTGTTAACGCATAACACATCCATAGATATGCGACCTCTGAAGACGGTCTTAGGGTAGGTAGAAACAATTAATGGATCTTGTGAACTTAGTGAATGTTGTGACAAAGGCAAAGAATGCTGTGCCGAAAGCGAGATGTGACGTGTTTATATATATATATATATATATATATATATATATATATATATATATATATATATATATATATATATTTGGGAATAGTTATATCTGTTTTTACTTATAGGTGTTTATGTTGTATGAGTATTGCTTCAGGATTATAATTCTGTTTTTACTTTTTGATTTTGCTGATTCTTGGTGTACGTGAGAAGGTCTCTAATGTTACGATGATCTGTGGTTGTGGTATATCCTATATAAGATGTTTCGTGTTTGTATTTACTGAGAAACATTCTTCGAGTAGGCAAGTATATTCACACACAATATTGGTCTGAAATAGGTGGGGGTGGAAGTTTAGGATGCATTAATTTTAACAACTAAGTTACTAGCTTTGAATTTGTTGCAGCAAATGAATCTGATGTATTTAGTTTTATCGACAGGTTATATATATATATATATATATATATATATATATATATATATATATATATATATATATATATATAAAAAAAAGAAAGAACAGTAAGATACATAATCCGGTGTTCTTATTGATATTTTATTTTTATAAAACAGTGCTCAATGTAAATTAACAGAGCATTAATATTATAAATTAACTGATTTAAAATATGATTTTTTCGGTACACATGAAAATTATCGAGAAATTGTCCAAATACAAGGACCTGGAGATCGAGATTAACAGGATGTGGGGAATGAAGACTGAGACTGCGCCAATAGTAATCGGAGCACTGGGCCTCGTGAGAAAAAGAATGGACAATTTTACTAACAGTGTCCCGGGTAATGTCAATGTACAAGTTGCCCAGAAGATCGCCCTACTAGGAACATCGCATATACTAAGAAAAGTGCTGTCAATTAAATGACAATTTTTCTATAGGGTCTAAGGTCCATTGTTTGGACACGGCTCTACAGGATACAAAGTAGGAAACATAACATACACAAATAATAATAATAATAATAATAATAATAATAATACATGACTTCTAGAAATATGTGATTTAAGAATAGAAATGAAAAGAAGTAATTTTCAACAATGTTTCGATTAATATCGAAACATTGTTAAACAATGTGTCTTTTCTTTTAGGTTTCTTAAATCGCGCTTTTTTGGAAATTTTGTCAAATAAGGAAGTAATTCCATCAATCATTTTGTTTAATAATAATAATAATAATAATAATAATAATAATAATAATAATAATAATAATCCACCGGTCTTTCAACTCTTGAAAAAAGCGTTAAAGAAAATTACATAAATATATTACCGACATCCTACCCCGGGGTAATGAAGAAAACGGCGGGAGTCTTCCAGAAGGTTTATATGCTCTGTTGCTTGATTAATTGATCTTACTAACTAATCAACTGACGGGAATTTTTCAGATCAGTAAGCTCCCCATCATGTTACTCTCGTCTCAGTTGCATTCACTTCACGCTTGCTGCCTTTCAATCACTTTGTCACGTTGATTATCATTACAACCGTTTCTTTTTTCAGGACAAGCGACGCTTGTATAAAGAGTTGATTATATATTTTTATAGTTGTATGCATTTTTTTAACATAACTTGAAGAAGACGAGCATACTGTTGAAATATTGTTAAATTCTGTGTCTTTTCTTTTCTTAAATCGTGATTTTCTGTAAGTGTTCCAAAACAACGAAAAAGTCATTTTGCTTAATAATAATAATAATAATGTTGGCCATTTTGCATCAATTTGCGTTCTATTACCGCCGAGCAAATATAAAACTTCGGATTGACAGTGTCGGCCATTTGCAATGGAAAATCTGCAACTTTTACGGAAAGGAACTGTAAGAAATTGATATGAACACCACCCAGATCCGGTTATAGGACCTGTAATATTTTTATGGGACTTTGAAAGACACACAGACAGAACAATCAAAGGTAATCTCCCTGACATCGTGATTAGAGACCACAAAACTAGAATGCGATTTCTTATTGACTTGGTAAAGCCTGTAGATTCTAATGTATCTTTTGATGTTCTTCCAAAAAATAAAACTATATATATATATATATATATATATATATATAAAATAAAAAGATCTTGAAGTAGAAAACTAAAAAGTAAGGCATATGAAAACATCAGTAGTTTCAGTAGTAGTTAGAGCCCTCGGGTTGATTGGAAACGGTTCCGATAATCATGGAAGGAATCCCTGGTAGCCCATGCTTTAAAAATACAAAACATTGTACTGACAATTCACACCTCATGAAGGGCTTTGTCATGTAAAATGCGTGTGGTCATAGGTTTTTCTATTTTTATTCTTTTTTTTACAAAACTGTTCACTGGAAAATGTCATGATACAATTTCTGACCTTAGGTCTTTGGTTGGGACCCGGGAGAAATGTGTACACAACAGAAATCAAATGCGTTGCATGGGAAATACCTAAAATGAATGAACCAAACAGATGTGGACCAACAGTAAACCTGAGGATCAACGGGTTGAAAGCTGAGGCAGAAGGCCTAATTATTGCAGCTCAGGACCAAAGCCCCGCAACCAGAACCAAAGACTGTCACATAATCAACGATGGAACTAATTCGAAATTTGAAATTGTCGAAAGAACTTGGCGAGTGACTTCCATTTGACAACGACTCGAATACAACGATCTTATTATTCAAGGAATTGATAGTAAGTTAATGTCTCATTAAGTCTTGTTAGCGAAGTGATTTCGCCATTAATCTCATTAACATTGCTATTAAATTCTTTGTGTATATGTATAAATTGTTTCATTATGATATAAAACATAAGCCTCACTCTCTCTCTCTCTCTCTCTATATATATATATATATATTCCAGTCGAATCCATTACATTCACTTATCTTCATATCTATTTAACTCATTTTCTTCATATCTATGTTCATTTTTATATATATATATATATATATATATATATATATATATATAATCTTCATATTTGTTTAAATCATTCTCTTCATATCTATCTATCTCAGTCTCTTCATTTATATATATATATATATATATATATATATATATATATATATATATATATATATGTATATATGTTATATGTATATCTTGATAACTATCTGTCTAACTCATCTATCTATCTATCTATCAATCTATCTATCTATCTATCTATCTATCTATCTATCTCACTCTGTTCATACATATGTATGTATCAAATTTGCAACCAAAATAGTGGTTATCATCCCCACCCCTTATATCTATGATAGCTACAGAATCTATGATACGGGTCACCCACTCTACGACATCTCAATTTTTATAAGGTAGTATCCATATAAAATACACATTTTATTGTAATTTAATTATGTACAATAATGGATCATATGCAATATAGGTGAACAGTTCAATTTGAAAAATTGAAAATAAATACAATGTATCTAAATACAAATTAGAGAAATGCCAAAAGTGACAATTCCATCTTAAATAGCCCTTAGGCTTGGAGAAAATCTGATTGCTATCGGCGTTGAAGAATTTGGGAACAAGAAATTTTATTACACTAAGCTGAAACGAGTTGGTAGATATATGAAAGGCACAAAGAAGTCCATCTCGCGTGATAAATATGGTTGTATCTTCTTCTCGGGGTTAAATTAGATTAATGTATAATAATGATAATTCTTCATCTGAGAAATTTGGCGGGAAACTTAAAGGCTCATCTTTTGTATTGAATTCAAACCTTGAAAGTTAATAGAAAGATAACAACCAAGATGAGGACACTCGTCTAAATAGATTAATTGAGATAATTTCTCAACACAAAAATCCAGAAAGAATTTGGTACTGACAAATACCCTGGGGACATCCCGATGTTATTTTCAACTGTGTTCTGGTAACTTCTGCAACGATGCCAATTTGTATTGGCATCTACTTTTCCCTGAGCCAACATTGGTGGCGTGGGGAGTGGAGTCGAGCTGCATGGGCAACCGCTGATCTTTCATCAAACCCTGCCCAGACCTGCGACCTGGAGAGGACATTTACCGGCAAGAGGGCACTTCATCTTCGCTTCAAGGACGTCTGAAAAAGAGATATGAGTGTAATGGACATGGACATCGAGAGGTGGGAAGAGGTCGCCAGCTATCGATCGCTCACGCTGGAGATGCGATTTCCACCGAGGTTTGGATCGAGGTGTGGATGAGTGTTCGACGGAAAGAAAACAACACCGGTTAGGGCGTCTTCACATGCATTCGTTTCAGTCTAGACTGTCAGTCCAGCGTGGGCCTGCACAGCCATAACAAATGCCGCACCGCCAGCAGAATCTGAGGTTTAGACCCACGGAACGGCCTATATTTTGCCGCCAAAACAATGTTACTCATACATAGCTGTTGCACGTTTCGTTGCAAATATGACAATTAAAATTCCACGGCTTACTAAGTAGAGGCCGGTTATAGTAATTAATATTTCCTGTGTATATAATTTACATACTTAAGCAAGCCGACGTAAGGCGACACTAGCATGGCTATATATATATATATATATATATATATATATATATATATATATATATATATATATATATATATATATATCGATTCTCCCGTCGAATCCGACGTATGAGGTCAAACAGATCAGTTTCAGAAACTGACGGCCATTTAACAACACATGAGATTTGATTATAGTGGTGACGGTCTCGTGCAGGACCATCCACACTTTTTGAAGGGCCGAATACAGAGACCTGGTGCCCTACTTGCCACAGGGTCCCCAAACGACCCTCTACGGGTTTTGAATTCAGAGTTGTCCTTCTCCTAGACCAGTTGCCATCCAAACCCGTTGGAGAAGTGGATATCGGATTGGATTGAGGAATCGCAGAGCCGAGTTCGAATCCAGGTTGAATCTATTACATTCACTTACGTGCTAATACCCTTGGGAAAGGTGTGAATCCTCTTCTTCTCCCTCCAGCTATGGGTAAAATAGCAGGACAGACTGGGTTATATATATATATATAATTATGAGCCTAAAGAGCCAGGTAAACCTACCTAGGTTTCACCTACCACCTTGGCCAGACGATCCGTTACTACTTAGCGTATTGAGCACTTTACATAGTTATTTTGCTTTACACGTTTTGAAGGGTTTTTTTCTTTAGACTCTGAGCTTGAATTCTGGACGTTTGTTTTCGCCTCAATTCCATCGTCTTAGTTCTTTCTTTTTTATCGCTTATTTTCCCTTGGGTATTGTTTTTTTTTTTCATTTACAAGCCAAAACACATAAGGTTTTTCTAACGAGTATAATATATATATATATATATATATATATATATATATATATATATATATATATATATATATATATATATATATATATATATAAACGTGTTCTTTCTGTCTCTTCTCAGATGTACATATTCATAGTTGACTAAAGCCAGAGTAGTGAATTTGACATTCACTGAGCGCTCCACACTTTCGGCCTTGTGTCACATTTCAGCTACGTTTAAAAATAGTTTTAGGGCACCTCGACGTGGTGTAACGGTTAGCAAGCTTGTCTCGCTAGATCAATTACGACTGAATTGTGAGTTCGATCCTCACCGGCTGCCCCACACTTTCGGCTTTGTGTCACATCTAAGCTAAGCTTAGAAAATCATTTGCAGCACAACCACGTGGTGTTATGGTTACCAACCTTGTTTCGACTGAATAGTGAGTTCGGTCCTCACTGGGTGCCACTGTACTTTCGGTATTTTGCCACATCTAAGTTACGCTGAGAGAATCATTTCATGGTTGTAATGGTTAACAAGTTACGACTGAATATGGACTTCGATTCTCAATGGGTGCTCTACACATTCGACCTTGTGCCATATCTAAGCTGCGCTTAGAAAATCACATTATACACTCACTCGCGCACACACATACACACACATATATGTTTAGAGACTCTAAGAAAATGATCTCCTACACATATATATTTACATCCATGCATATCCGCCCTACTCTCATATATATATATATATATATATATATATAATTGGATTAATAAAAAGTAATCACATACTATTTAAGCATGTATATTCTTTTAAGAAACTTTTTGTTGCTCTTTCCATATATATTTATAAATAGCTTGAACACAAAGACGTACAGAGAGAGAGAGAGAGAGAGAGAGAGATCCATTTATCAATATACCATTCACATACGCAAGCTTGCACTCAAGCACTGACACACATATGCGTAATTAAATTAAACGTAATAACTTTCAATTCTTATCGGGCACCGACTCGGAATTTCGCAAATCTTTCGATCGCTTATGAGTACTCTCGAAAGAAAGGATTACATTGATCACAATCAAAATTCATTATACACACACACACACACACACACACACACACACACAAACACACACATACACACACACATATATATATATATATATATATATATATATATATATATATAGTGGGGTGTAAGGTAAGTAGGTATTAAAACTGGTAATGAAATCCATATTCCTATTAGAAATTCGTTGAAACAAATAATACATGTTTTCTTTATTACACGGGGAAATGAAAGTAAATCATTATATTTCGACGTAAGCACCGGTGGCGTCAGGCAGTTTGCTCACGCGGCCAGGGATAGAATGAACAATTTCCTGAAGGACCTCGTCTGGGATATCACAGAGAACTTCCAGAATCCGTATCACGAAGTCCTCCAGCGTGCGAGGATTTGTCTTTTACACCTCCACTTTTGTGTAAATCCAACCCTCCAGATATAAAAATCACATGGAGTGAAATCTGGATTTCTTGGAGGTCATTCATGAGGTCCGCGTTGTCCCATCCAACGCCCTGGCAAATGTTGGTCTAACCACGCACGCACAGTGAGGGCGAAATGGGGTGGAGTACCATCCTGCATGAATATCAGTATGGTTTGGTTTGGTTTTTGTTTTACGGCATATCAACACCTCAATGGGTTATTTAATGCCGACAACATTTTTAGGATAGATTCGTATGAATAGAATATGTATTCTTTGGTTTAGATTGGTTTATTTTATTTTGTTTTACGGCATATCAACCTCAATGGGTTATTTAATGCCGACAACATTTTTAGGATAGATTCGTATGAATAGAATATATATTCTTTGGTTTAGATTGGTTTGGTTTATTTTGTTTTACGGCATATCAACCTCAATGGGTTATTTAATGCCGACAACATTTTTAGGATAGATTCGTATGAATAGAATATGTATTCTTTGGTTTAGATTGGTTTGGTTTATTTTGTTTTACGGCATATCAACCTCAATTGGTTATTTAATGCAAACAACATTTTAGGATAGATTCGTATGAATAGAATATGTATTCTTTGGTTTAGATTGGTTTGGTTTATTTTGTTTTACGGCATATCAACCTCAATGGGTTATTTAATGCCGACAACATTTTTAGGATAGATTCGTATGAATAGAATATGTATTCTTTGGTTTAGATTGGTTTGGTTTATTTTGTTTTACGGCATATCAACCTCAATGGATTATTTAATGCCGACAACATTTTTAGGATAGATTCGTATGAATAGAATATGTATTCTTTGGTTTAGATTGGTTTCGTTTATTTTGTTTTACAGCATATCAACCTCAATTGGTTATTTAATGCCAACAAAAATTTTATTGTTGGTAATGTTTTTCTTCAAAAATCTATTTCTGGGAATATTTTTCCTTGAAGGAATCTAGAGCTGGTCATATTTTTTTTCAAAGAATGTATAGCTGTTTGTATTGCTGGTATTTTTTAAAAAGTATTTCTGATAATAATTTTTTCTTTAAAAATTATTGCTGGAAATAATTGTTTTTATTACAAAGTATTTCTGGTATTAAAACCTATTTTTAGACACGTTTGGGTGTTAACTATTTGCCCATAGCTGGGACCCTAACAGGTGCTAACACCCCGGGTCAGGGTGGACCTGGGAACCCCGGCAATTAAGCGGTGGTTCCACGCTCCTCGAAACCTCCTGATCAGAAGTCTTGCTGTTGGAAGTAGTTTATTGTCTTATCCAGGACGCGGATGTAGTTTGTCCTCATACTCAGGACAGGCATGAATATCAGGTCAACAATATTATCCCAGTCAAACACCGTGGGCCACATGTAATTTTTGAGCATCTGAAGATAGCGGACCGTATTCATTGTGTCACGCAGAAGATATGGGCCGACGACTCTTGGAGCCCCCATTCCGCACAACACGGTTACTTTTGATCGAGTTTGCATCCTCTCAACCGTCATGTTAGGATCGTTATCAAACGATGCTCAGTAATGGCAGTTGTGTTCTATTCGTCTTGTGAGCATCCGATTCTCCAGGCCCTCCTTTCTCATGCGTTTCAGAAACTTCGACTGATTCTTCCTGATGCTAAGTATAAGCCTCCTCCTTGTTTCCATCCTCTCCAAGATCTCATCGTTGCTCACACGCTCGTTCCATGATATCCTCAGCATCCTTCTGTAGAACCACGTCTCGAGTCTCTTCTTCATCTTTGAGGAGACCGTCCAACATTCTCTGTCGTAAAGGAGGACTGTTGTCACGTAACAGCTCAGTATCCTTTTTTGTTGTTACCAAATAAATCCTGCTGTTTCGCAATACTCAGCTTTTGGAATGTGCCCTTGGTCATCCCAATATGTCCACGGATCTCAGTGTCGCACTTACCGTCCTCTGTCAAGACGCTTCCCAGATGTTTAAACTTCCGCACATTTGATTGTAGTGTTCCCGACTTGCAAATCGCATTTCGGGTTCATCCTTTTACTGATGACCATGCATTCTGTTTTCTTGTAGATTATACTTAGTCTTTTCTTCTCGCTCTCCTTCGCTACCTTCTGGAGGAGATTTTGTAGTTTCCTTTCCGTGTCTGCTATCAGCACTGTGTCATCTGTGTATTTTATGTTGGTAAGATTGTGGCCGTCAATGATGAATCCTGTATATCGTGTCTTTAATTTTACTATAAAATGTATTGTTGGTCATTTTACTATAAATGCATTGCTCGGTCCATGACATCCTTAGCATCCTTCTGTAGAACCATACTTCTGTTGCCTCGAGTCTCTTCTTCATCTTTGAGGAGACCGTCTAACATTTGCTGCCGTAAAGGAGGACAGATATCATGTAGCAGTTTAGTTCTCTTTTCTTTGTTACCAAAGAGATACCCCTGTCTCGTAGTACCCAGCCTAGCTTTTGGAATGCGTTTTTGGTCATCCGTCTTCGGATCTCAGTGTCGCACTTACCATCCTCTGTCAGAACATTTCACAGATGTTTAAATTTTCGCGCCTGTTTGATTTTAGTGTCCCCGACCTGTAAATCGCATTTCGGGTTTATCTTTTTGCTGATTACCATGCATTCTGTTTTTTTTTGCAGTTTATGCTTAGTCCTTTTCTCTCACTTTCCATCGTTACCTTCTGTAGGAGATTTTGTCATTTCTTCTTCTCATTTTGTAACAATTTCCACATATTCGTTCGTTGGCTTTTGTAATAAATGTGTAAAATTGTAAAGAGACTATGGACACTCTGTATTACTCTTTTATGCATAAGTGGAGTGAAGACTGAAATTAGTACCAAGACAGTCAATCACCACATAACAGAAAAATAGTCGGAGGATATGTATGTGAAAACTTGCTTATATATATATATATATATATATATATATATATATATATATATATATATATTTATATATATTCTTACGAAACCCCCTCCTCTTTCTCCAACCTTATCGATAGCGAAAGTAGAGGAGGATCGTAATCTGTGTTATTTTGTTTTTTAACATTTTGCATTTTTTTTTTGTAAAATATATTTCTTTCTCAAGGGTCTCTTTCCGGTTGATCAGACACGGCCGAACGGAATCGATTAAGGAACAAACACGATAGGCGACAAACAACAATGGAGACAGGAAATATAAATTTATTAACAAACATGGGATCGTGGAAAAGATAAAAATAAAAAAAAACGGTCAAAACAAAAATGTCGGTATGTCAAGAATAAACATTTAAACATTGTGGACAAAACAGTCGGAGGAGAGCATCCTCTAAGAAAGATAAAATAAAAATCAACATATGGCCTTGTGCCATACTCCCACGAATTTAAACAACATGTGCTATACTTGCACGGATTCACAAAACATCAAAATTTTAAGTCAAGTGGACAGAAACATGTAATAAAAAGATCCTATGCTAAATTTTCATGAAAGTACAAACATGAAATAGAGGTGCATTTAAAGAAAAACGAAGCAGAAGAAAAACAATAAACTTAACTCAGAATAAAGAATAAAGTCCTTTTCCACGAATAATGTCTCTTATCTACTTCTTTTTCTTTTTCTTTTTTCTTTTCTATTTCTTTTTATAAGGATTTCCTTTTGAGGTCTTTTCTTACTTCCTCTCTTTCTCTTTTTGTCGTCTAGGGGCTTGGCTGACGATTAAGCAGAAAATGCGTTCCCTCTCTCTTTCGTCTTGGTATAACAGCACTTTCGCTCGAGATGGTCTGTTCTTTCTTTCTTTTCCCTCTCGTGCTTTGATAAAGGGCTTGGTGACAGTTGAAACTGCTTTCTTTCTCCTCGATATAGCGGCGTTCCGCATGCGTCGTCAAACGGGTCCATCCATTCCACTCGGAGACTATTTCTCCTCACAATTTCGCGAACACATCCTTTCAGCCCATATGCCGAGACATTCGCCAGACGTCCTACCGGCCCGCAGGCGTAGGCCAAGACTAACTTTTCCGTTTCACTATTCGTTTTCTTTTTCTTCTTGTCACGTGGTCAATTTTCAAAATACTAACTTTTTCCCATTATGGGTGGAATGAGGTGATCGACCCTCTCTCTCATCTTCAGGGTCAGAGAAAGTTTAGTTTAAAGTGTTTCAACTTCCCCCAACCGGAATCTATCCGTGTAAATCATGCTGTCAATACCTTGATTAAAAGAGAAGGAAAGGATACACTCTGGTCAATCCTTGTCGCCACTAAGTCTACCTATCTCTTTGGGTTTACTATCTTTACATTTTCTGCAAGTACTGAATGCTTCTAAAATATAGACAATGGTATAGTTTTTATAATAAATTTAGATCGGGGTTCGTAACAATATATATATATATATGTTGTGGCCTTGTTAGAACAGAAATAAAGACACAAGAGAGGAAATGAGTTAAACAAATATATTAACAGAAACAGTAATACAAACGTATAATACACCCCCCACCCTGTCTCGTAGTACTCAGCCCAGCTTTTGGAATGCGTCTTTGGCCATCCGTCTTCGGATCTCAGCGTCGCACTTACCATCCTCTGTCAGAACATTTCACAGATATTTCAATTTTCGCACCTGCTTCATTTTAGTGTCCCCGACCTGTAAATCGCATTTTGGGCTTATCTTTTTGCTGATGACCTTCTGTAGGAGGTTTTTGCTAATTTCTTTTCCGTGTCTGCTGTCAGTACTGTGCCATCTGCATATCTTATGCACTTAAGATTGTACATTTTAACATACCTAACATAGTTTAGTCCTTTCTTCTTGCTTTCTTGTTCTACCTAGTGTAGGAGTTCTTGTAGTTTCCTTTCTGTATTTGTTATCAACACTGTGTCATCTGCATATATTATGTTGTTAAGATTGTACGTTTTAACATACCTAACATAGTATAGTCCTTTCCTCTCACTTTCCTACACTACCTACTGTAGGAGTTCTTGTAGTTTCCCTTCTGTGTTTGTTATCAACACTGTCTCATCTGCATATCTTATGTTGTTAAGATTGTACGTTTTAACATACCTAACATAATATAGTCCTTTCTTCTCACTTTCCTTCACTACCTGTGTCTACTGTCAGTATTGTGTCTTATGTTGGTAAGATTGTGGCCGCCAATGCTGAATCTCCGTAGTATTACCTCGCTGTATAGCATAGCGGTTCGTATTCATGACGTTTCGCAGAAAGTTTGGATCGACGACACTAGCTGTAAGAGCGCACGGTTACTTTTGGCCGAGCTTGCATCCTCTCAACCGTCACCTTCGGATCGTATATCACATAACACCCAGTAACAGCAGTTGTGACGACTGATGAAGCCGCCAACATGGAATACAACTTTGTCACTCCAGAGGATGTTTTCAAACAATTCAGGCCAATCTTCATGCGAACCTAACATTAAGTCTCCATATTCCATTCTGCAGGCACAGTCTTCAGGTTTTAGCTCCTGAACGTAAATATGTGTTATGGTAATTTACTTACGCACGCGTGCACTCTCCCAGCTATAAATAGGAGCAGGTACTGCCTTTTGCTGTCTGAAGTTTCCAGCAGTCAGCTCTGACAGTGAAACCGAACATTCTTGCTGTAACACTCTCGTTTCTATGTGTTTGTATTACTGTTTTTCTGTTGTTATATTTGTTTAACCCAACTCCTCTTTTGTGTCTTTATTACTGGCCCTAACAAGGCCACAACAATAAGAAATCCCTATTCGTGTTGTCTGTTCAAAAATACTTTCATCATGACTTCAGTGATACAAAAAGAATCCTATAAGCAAATTCTAATGCCTAGTTACCTTAGACCCACCTATATATATATATATATATATATATATATATATATTATATATTCAAAAGGTTAATGATTTAATTCGAGAAATCCATCGTCGCAAACAATTCAAATAAAACAAAAAATCCGAAGGTTAAATGATCCTTGTTTTAATTTTGGCGTTCTTTTTTTAGAAGCTTTTTCGTCTGTTCCTACAGACATCTTCAGGTATAGAATAGATGTTGTTCTTGTTTTTTCTCTTAGTAATAAGAGGACAACGAAAATATATGTATTGTTGTATCCGAAAATGCTATTGAAAATATATATATGTGTGTGTGTGTGGTTTAGAGTTTGGTCTCTTTATGGGGGAAGAATGCTAGACAACAGAGACACAGTGTTTTTAATTATAGACAACGTGAACATTGAATTATAACTGCATACACACTGTCAGTTTTTTCGCCTGACAAAACACACAAATGTACAAAGATGCACACACACAGACATACACACACAAATACAAACATACAACATATATATATATATATATATATATATATATATATATATATATATATATATATATATTCTCCAAATCGTGTAACAGCATGGAATAATTGTCCATTCCACAAAATGTTTAATATCTGAAAACCGCTAAACAAATCGAGTTTATTTTGTCTAGGTTTTCAGATAAGACGTTTAGGTATCTTGACACCATTTGTCGTAAGAATCACTGAAAAAACACCTTTGAGTTATTCAGCTAGAAAGGGAACAGGATAAAATCGTTTTGTGTCAGCCCCAATACGCCTTCCCAACTGAGCAATGGTGAGAGGCAAATGATCATTCAGGCCTTCAATAATGATGCCAACATTCATACTCTGTCTTCCATCTTTAAAGGCCCTTCAAGAACCAAGGAAAAGGTATCATCATTTCAACATAGAGCTAATGAGGTCAATTAGAAAAGATCCAACTCAATCCATAAAGCGTTATCAAGTGAGAGAGGAGTTTCAGCTATGACAGTCCAAAAAACAGTGAAAAAAGACTTGTAAATGAAATCCTAGGTGAAACGTGTGCGGCACCTTGTTACTCTATGACAGAAAGTTAGAAGGTTAGAGAGGGCGAAGATCATTTTGAATAAGTCGGAAAATGATCCTGGAATAATATATATATATATATATATATATATATATATAGTTGAACTTTATTTCAATCCTTCGTGAGCTTCTGATCCTTAGCTATGATTAATTAATGATGAACATGTCATTTTCATTTATGATCGATTTCATCACGATTCTTCTGTTTGGCTTGGAGAGTAATTATACATTCTTATCGCTCAAATCCAACAGTTTTATAAATACCACACAGACACACACACACAGAGACACACACACACACAGACACAGACACAGACACAGACACAGACACACACACACACACACACACACATATATATATTGTTGTGGCCTTGTTAACAGAAACCATAATACAAACATATAGAAACGAGAGTGTTACAGCAAGAATGTTCGTTCCGATTGTCAGAGCTGACTGCTGGAAACTTACCCTTCCAAAAGGCAGTACCTGCTCCTATTTATAGCTGGGAGAGTCCATGCGTGTGTGGGAAAAATACCATAACATCTATATAATTGTATATTTGGGCAGCAGTTTTTCTTTTATACAGGTTTCATTTATGACAATTGACAAGGTAGTGCGATTAACAGTTTTATCAATCAATTTTACTGTTTTATATATATATATATATATATATGTGTGTATGTGTGTTTGTGTGTGTGTGTTAGTGTGTGTGTGCGCACATGCGTGTACCATGTTTGTATATATTATGTACAGTTTTAGCGCTAATTTGAAATTCTCAGCCTCTTCTCTCCTCCGCGCGTATCTGTAGTCGCTTCAACGTAAAGATCGCTTTAGTCCAATGAATTCCTAAATGACGAATGGGTGGTAGTACTTGTTAGGGACCCAACTATGGACAAATAATTAGCCCACGAAACTGAGATCAAAACTATATGAAAGTATAAAAATAGATGTTTATAGTAAAAAAATACCAGCAAACATTTTTTGAAAAATAAAGAAATATTACCAACAATGCATTTTTCGAAAAGGTTAAAATATTACCAGCAATACATTTCTTTGCGAAAAAAAAAAAAATTAACAGTAATACATTTTTTGAAAAAAAATACCACCAATACATATTTAAAACAATACATTTAAAACATAAACTAAAAAAAATACCAGCAATACTCTCTACAAAAAGAAAAAAAGAAAAAATCTTTACAAAAATACGCCAATAAAACCTGGTGTATAAACTGATCTCTTACAAAGAATGCATATTTTATTCATACGAACGTCGCTTAAAAATCTTGTCGGCATTAAATAACCCATTGATATGTTGATTTGCCGTAAAACAAAATAAACCAAACCAAATGTCAAAAGGGATCATACAAAAACTTTTTACACTTTTTTTTTCCATATATATATATATATATATATATATATATATATATATATATTAGCGTATGCATGCGTCGATATATCTGACATGGGATATATTGTATATTCAACCATCAATCAATCGATTAATGTCTGTCAGCATGTAACAGACCTTATGTAAGCGATGCGAATATGTGAGAAACCTTTAAAAAATACCGAGAATTGCGCGAGAGTTTGGCGTGGGTCGCTGTAGTCTATGGGATTGTTTCGTATTTATTGCCGGCACCAGAATTCGGAGTCCAAACTCAGTAAAGAAAAAAAATGTTACGAATGCCAATTTTTGGGGGAGAGTAAGGCCTGCGCTCTCCAACTGGGAGATACTCGCTGCAGATAATTTTGAAATCTTTTCTCTATTTTAGTCTGTGTTTTGTGCCTTTAAAATAAGGAAATATTCTATTGTCAGTAGTCGAGAATAAAAGTGTCTATTTCTGTGAGCGTCCCGGTATTTAATTAATGAGATGTAGACATTTACAGTAGAAATGAATTTCAAATAAATGCGTTATGGATAATTTTACTTCATCTTTACAAGAGTCAGAACAAGCCAAAAATGGAACATTGTTTCCATATCTGGATTGGTTTGCCCAATTCTCCAATGTCCGGCTTTGTCAGAGTCTAAAATCATTTATACGGTCCCTTTATTACATACGTAACGCCACCGTTAAAATAGTGCCTGTACATGGGCTCATAACCTGTTGAAGAATTAGACATCTTTAATCCGAATTAACAAAATTCCCGGGATCAATAAGAAGAGGACGAACAGGAATAGAACAAAATTATACGAAGCAAAACAATGTAATGCAAAGCAAAGCAACGATAAGACAAAAAAAAAAAGATAGTAAAAAAGACCGCAAACGTAAAAATAGTGTTCAGCCGCAAAAGGGATACCGTCAAGTGGTTATAGCCTTCTGGCTTCAGGGCAAGAATGAGATTTACCCATTTTTATTGTCTAGGAAGAAATCGCATCATGCGTCTGTAGTATTTTGTCTATAAATTTGTGGAGGTAATGTTTTAGCAGTCACTCCCCAAATTAATCTATTGCTACTGCCAGGGCAGATGCACAGACAAGAACTATACTTTATTGCCTTTGCAGCCAAAACTCGACTTGCGCCCCCTCACCACTCAGAAATGTTCTTTCCAAGAATCACTATTTTGTGAAACAGACTCCTGATTTTTGAATCTTAACTATGTACGTCCAAAACATTTTAAAAAAAGAGTATAACATGGTGAAAGAAGCTCCCAAACTTGATAAAATTATTTTTTTATTGTGAAAATATGTTGTTTTTAAGAGGAAAGACCAAAATAATTTTTTGATTATTTCATTAATTTTTTAATCCTTTCTAGCACGTTCGACATTTTTGGTTAAAAATCTTGTTTTTCTTGCGTCAGCAGGTAAGCTAAAGATTAGTAGGGGGAAATTTTAGCGTTTTTTTTTTGTTTTTTTTGCATTAAAACACATTGTTTGGAAATTCCTGCAAAAATCAAATAATTGTCGGATTTTAATTAAATTTGCAGAACTTATTCACAAATGAATGAAATTATTTTTTAAAATCTTTTTCTTCCAGAAAATCCTGGTAAAAACAAATATTTTTTACATCTGTTACTACCACTTACATAATTTTATGAAATTTCGAGAAATTAAAATGTCAGCCTCTTCATATTTATATTAGTTAAAAAGCAGGACTCCTTGGAGAATGTAAATCATCAATTTTAGTTTTTGTCAAGCAGAAAGAACATTTACGAAAATCTGCTCTTAATCGTAAAATGAAAAAATAAAACGATAACATTATTTAATTAGAAAAGCTTTTCATTGCTTTTATAAATAAGACATCTTAAGGACACTATTGTCTTAAGAAAAAGAAAATTATGCTTGAATCTCGATATATATATATTTAAGACATTTTCATGTTTATACATTCTTTTTTATAGATACAAATATTTAAGTAAACGCTTTGTTTATAATAAACAGTATTAACAACATTTACCGACCTGAATGTTCGAGAAATTGTCATAGAAAATATGCATTCTCCGACAGGAATCGAACCTGTATCCTATACGGAACGGTCATATAGCCTGACAATTTCTAGGACATTCAGACCGGTAAATGCTGTTAATACTGTTTATAATAAACAGTATTAAACAACATTTACCGGCCTGAATGTCCGAGAAATTTTCACAGAAAATATTCGTTTTCCTTTCTGTGAAAATTTCTCGGACATTCAGGCCGGTAAATGTTATTATTACTGTTTATTATAAACAAAGCATTTACTTAAATATTTGTATCTATAAAAAAAGAATGTATAAATATAAAAATGTCTTAAAAATAATTGTCGGACTTTGTCCAGTCATTTTTTTTTTTTTGATGAATGAATGATAGTAAATAAATAAATGAATGAAGGACTGATAGTAAATGAATAAATGAATGACTGAATGATAGTAAATAAATAAATGAATGACTGAATGATAGTAAATAAATAAATGAATGAATGACTGATAGTAAATGAATAAATGAATGACTGAATGATAGTAAATGAATAAATGAATGACTGACTGATGAATAGTAATTGAATAAATAAATGAAGGAATGACAGTAAATGAATAAATGAATGGATGACTGAATGATAGTAAATGAATAAATGAATGAATGATTGAATGATTGTAAATGAATAAATGAATGAATGAATGACACACACACACACACACACACACAGATATATATATATATATATATATATATATATATATATATATATATATGAAGTGGAGTGATTGTATTGAATCAATTGCTTCGTCTACTACAAGGAATGTTGGCTCACTGTGTCGTGCCGGAAAATGTTTCCCGCCAGAATCCATCTTGCACATTTATAAATCAACCATTCCTCCGTGTATTGAATATGGTTGCCATATCTGGTCAGGTGCTCCTAATATATATCTCGAGATTTTTGACAGAAAATTCTAAGAATGGTCTGTCTTGTAATTAATCCTGATCAGGCATCGCGACTTCAGTCACTTCCCTCATGTTCTTTCTACAAATATTTTCATGCCAACTGTTCTGATGAGCTTTTTTTCTTACTCTGGTACCCCGACAACACGAATTTAAGCGGCAACTAGGCCTCACCGTTTTACTATTGAACTAGCTAGATGCAATGAATGAATCATTCATTCATTCATTCATTCATTTACTATCATTCATTCATTTTAGCACAATCCCCACCTGTGGAATTCTCATCGGATTTCTTGCTTCTCTCATAGCTACAATTTTCAAAAGATTAAGCGCGACGTCAGTCGCCATTTTCTGTCTTGTGATACGAAAGTGGACCGAAGGGGCCTCTCTTATGTCTCCATGCACACAATAAGAATTGTTCCACCTAAACGGTCAGAACGTAAAGAAAAGAAAATTGCAAATCTTGATGAAACGTCTAAAGTTCTCTGATATAAGATGTAGTTATTTTGCTTTTAATTATTTATTTATTTTTTTATATCACGGGCTCCCGCCATCGAAATAAGTAGCGCCTTTATCAAACTCTCACGTGTCGGGCGCCCGAAAGTTTATGCCCATGTGCCAAACGAAACAGTGCTTCGTGAATATCTACAGTTTCCTCCAACACTTTCTTTCGGAAATTTATCGGCGCTAATTTCAGTTCCAGGGCAGAGATAGGAAAATCCTTGCCACCAGAATAAACAGACAATTTGGTGGTACGCCAAACTGTCTCTTCGACGGAAATACTCAAAGACACTGGACATCGATTTTAAGCCTGTAAATTGGGATGATTGGAAGATGCTTGAAGCTTTGTCAGAAGAGGATAAGACACTAATTAGCCGAAGCGCCAAGCAGATGATAACGCCTTTATAATCCTACAGTCGTACAGAGAAGGGAAGTGGTCCTTTGAAACTGAAATTACAGTATATATTGAGAGACAAATGCTAGTTTAATGTAAACAAAGAATGCACAGTTTGTGGCTAAATTTGGATAGTTCACTTTGGCTCTAGGTAATCACCTCGTATTTTCTTAAATCTCAAAACACTGGAATAAAACATTAAATATAATGTGTACCTACAGACTCAAGTAAAAAACCCGCATACAGTTAGCCTATTGTCTCAAGTATAACTCTGGCCAATTTTTACCTACAGCCTCAAGTATAAATATGAGCATGGTTTACCTTTTCTGGACTTAAGTATAATAAAAAATAAAACAGATTTCCACATTAATTATCAACAAGAAGTGATATATCGTAAAATACATCAAGTTGACAATAAAAGATTTTAACACAACGACTAATAATAAAATACAAAAATGATAACAATATAGAGTAATAAAAGTTATATGATAAAAGATTCGTTCTTACAGTAGATCTTATTAGGCACAATAAGAGATTAACAACAAAACCTAATAATAAATTGGGGCAATTATAACAATAGACTGTAATAAAAGTTATGTAATGGATAGAAGATTCGTTCCTACCGTAGATCTTATTAGACACAATAAGAGATTAATAACAATAACTAATAATAAAATGGGGCAATTATAACAATAGACTATAACGAAAATTATATGATGATGGAAGATTCGTTCTTATCGTAGATGTTATCAATTTTCGAATATATTTTTTACTTTGCCTATAAAATCGAATACTGCCACTGTTTCTCTTAGGGAAGAACTTTATAATTTTTTTTAATCTAAGGTGTTGACCGCGGTTAAGTTAAACTGTGGAAAATGTATGCACCCAGAAGGAGCGTTGCATATCTGAGGTACTGTAGAAGACCTCAAGTTCGGGGATATTTTATAGAGAGAGCGAAAATAGTATTCATCTGAAGAAGGCCGGAGCGTACAATGGCTGAAACGTTGTGAATATGGCAATGGAGATGAGGATAACAGTCTGAATAATGTAAATAATGTAAGTAATCATAATACATCATCTCAGAGATATAGACGCCAAAACGTTGTGAATATGGCAATGGATGATAAGGATAACAGTCCGAATAATGTAAATACTGTAAGGGATCATAATACCTCATCTCAGAGATATAGAGGCCAAAACGTTGATATAGATATAGACAGGGATTATTATTAGTTTTCAACTCCGTGGATTTGTAAAATCTCAGATAAGAATACAATGGACGCAACGTGAGAGTAACGGGGAATTTTTAAGGGAAAATAGGAAACAAAAAGGGCGCTTATACTTAGAATCAGAAGGAGACAGCCAAAATTTCTAGGACGCCTGACGAGGAAAGAGGGCTTGGAGAAGCTGACACTCACAGGGTATATTGAAAGAAAGTATGACAGTCGAAATCTGGGAATAACCTACTTGACGTGTCTATGAGAATGGATGCAGAAGATTGGGGAAAAAACGAGCCATTGTTAAGAGCTATAAAAGATAGGAAGTTGTGGAGAGTCACAATTTCCCATGTCCTGAAGCCAAACAGTATATAGAAATAGAGAAGAAAAAAGTTAGGTATTCTGGCTAGCTGGAAAAGTAAAAGAGGTTAGCATTCGTGTCATATCCATAGTTATTGTCAACCCGAACAGCTTACAAAATAGGACGTCGGGTCTTGCTTGGCTCCTTGGGTAGGCAACATGTTTCATTGAAGCATTTTAATTATGGCATTTCCATGAGCCTATCGAATTGCATGGCTTTCTTTCTTTTTTTCCTTCCTTCTTTCCTTCTTTCTTTCTTTAAATAATTCCTCCGCTTCTATAGACTCTGTTCCTTCTCTTTTCTACCTTACTTACTGCCTTTCGTTCTTTCTTTAAACAATTCCAACCTTTCTATACAGACTCAGTTCCTTCTTTCTTTTTTCTTTCTTTCCTTTCTTTTTCTTTCTTTCTTTCTTTCTTTCTTTCCTTTCTTTCTTTCTTTTTTTAAACCTTTCCAACCTGTTTTCTATACAGACTTAATTCAGTTCTTTCTTTCTTTTTCTACTTTCTATACAGACTCTGTTAATTCCTTCCTTTCTTTCTTTCTTTGTTTAAACAATTCCAACCTTTCTATACAGACTCAGTTCCTTCTCTTTTCTACCTTAATTCCTTTCTTTCTTTCTTTCTTTCTTTCTTTCTTTCTTTCTTTAAACAATTCCAACCTTTCTATACAGACTCTGTTCCTTCTCTTTTCTACCTTAATTCCTTTCTTTCTTTCTTTCTTTCTTTCTTTCTTTAAACAATTCCAACCTTTCTATACAGACTCTGTTCCTTCTCTTTTCTACCTTAATTCCTGCCTTTCTTTCTTTCTTTCAATTCCAGCCTTTCTTACAGACTCTGTTCCTTTCTTTTCTTAATTTTTCTTTCTTTTTTTCTTTAAACAATTCCAACCTTTCTATACAGACTCTGTTCCTTCTTTTTCTACCTTAATTCCTTTCTTTTCTTTTTCTTTTCTTTCTTTCTTTCTTTCTTTAAACAATTCCAACCTTTCTATACAGACTCTGTTCCTTCTCTTTTCTCCTTAATTTTTCTTCTTTCTTACTTTCTTTAATTCCTGCCTTACAGACTTTCTTTTCTTTTAAACTTAATTCTTTCAACCTTTTTTCTTTACAAGACTCTGTTCCTCTCTTTTCTACCTTAATTCCTTTCTTTCTTTCTTTCTTTCTTTCTTTCTTTCTTTCTTTCTTTCTTTAAACAATTCCAACCTTTCTATACAGACTCTGTTCCTTCTCTTTTCTACCTTAATTCCTTTCTTTCTTTCTTTCTTTCTTTCTTTCTTTCTTTAAACAATTCCAACCTTTCTATACAGACTCTGTTCCTTCTCTTTTCTACCTTAATTCCTTTCTTTCTTTCTTTCTTTAAACAATTCCAACCTTTCTATACAGACTCTGTTCCTTCTCTTTTCTACCTTAATTCCTTTCTTTCTTTCTTTCTTTCTTTCTTTCTTTCTTTCTTTCTTTCTTTAAACTCTTTCCAACCTTTCTATACAGACTCTGTTCCTTCTCTTTTCTACCTTAATTCCTTTCTTTCTTTCTTTCTTTAAACAAACAAACCTTTCTATACAGACTCTGTTCCTTCTCTTTTCTACCTTAATTCCTTTCTTTCTTTCTTTCTTTCTTTCTTTAAACAATTCCAACCTTTCTATACAGACTCTGTTCCTTCTCTTTTCTACCTTAATTCCTTTCTTTCTTTCTTTCTTTCTTTCTTTCTTTCTTTCTTTCTTTCTTTAAACAATTCCAACCTTTCTATACAGACTCTGTTCCTTCTCTTTTCTACCTTAATTCCTGCCTTTCTTTCTTTCTTTAAACAATTCCAACCTTTCTATACAGACTCTGTTCCTTTCTTTTCTTTAATTCCTTTTCTTTCTTTCCTTTCTTTAAAGACTCCAACCTTTGTTCCTTCTCTTTTCTACCTTAATTCCTTTCTTTTCTTTTCTTTCTTTCTTTCTTTTAAACAACCTTTCTATACAGACTCTGTTCCTTCTCTTTTCTACCTTAATTCCTTTCTTTCTTTCTTTCTTTAAACAATTCCAACCTTTCTATACAGACTCTGTTCCTTCTCTTTTCTACCTTAATTCCTTTCTTTCTTTCTTTCTTTAAACAATTCCAACCTTTCTATACAGACTCTGTTCCTTCTCTTTTCTACCTTAATTCCTTTCTTTCTTTCTTTCTTTCTTTCTTTCTTTCTTTCTTTCTTTCTTTAAACAATTCCAACCTTTCTATACAGACTCTGTTCCTTCTCTTTTCTACCTTAATTCCTTTCTTTCTTTCTTTCTTTCTTTCTTTCTTTCTTTCTTTCTTTCTTTAAACAATTCCAACCTTTCTATACAGACTCTGTTCCTTCTCTTTTCTACCTTAATTTCTTTTTTTTCTTTCTTTCTTTTCTTTCTTTTTCCAACCTTTTTAAACAGACTCTGTTCCTTTCTTTACAGACTCTGTTTCCTTTCTTTTCTTTACTTTCTTTCTTTCTTTTCTTTCTTTTCTTTAAACAATTCCAACCTTTCTATACAGACTCTGTTCTCTTTTCTTCTTTTCTACCTTTAATTTCCTTTCTTTCTTTCTTTCTTTCTTTCTTTCTTTCTTTCTTTTTCTTTCTTTCTTTTAAACAATTCCAACCTTTCTATACAGACTCTGTTCCTTCTCTTTTTCTACTTTCTTTAATTCTTTCTTTCTTTCTTTCTTTCTTTCTTTCTTTAAACAATTCCAACCTTTCTATACA